AAAAAAAAAAAAAAATAGCAGACCATTGGCAGCACTGATAAGATAAACCAATCCACAGGGAATTCCTGGGCTGGGACGTGGAGGAGATTGAGGCAGGGAGGTAAGCCTGGGCTTAGAGATACTTTTCCATCAGGAATGGAGGAAGTGGTAGAGTCTGAATGAGGGATAGTATCTTCTCACAGAGAGGATTTAGTCATGTGACTACAGGAGGTGGGTTTGGTGACTCCCTGGTTTGGGAGAAGACTGCAAAGTTCTGCTATGGGAACAAAGGATGAACTGGAAGAAGGAAAGTTTGAGAGGCTTGCAGCCTCAGCTCATCTCAGTTCCTGCACTGGATTATTGGGTTCAGGTTGTTGATGCCCTCCAGCTCCCATAAATCCTGTCTGCAAGAAGACACCACCCCTGTCAATGATTTCCACAAACAATTATGCAACTACAATGTCCAGGGCACAAAAAATAAAGCATCAAAAACAACTCATAAAAGAATAAAAATATACATACACACACAAGCAAAATATGAAACTGAAAAATAAAAAGCAGACATATGATGAGGACAACACAAATAAAACATAACAGAAAAATAAATACAAGTGGGATGTGGTGCACACTTCTAATCTCAATACTTTGCAGGAGGATTGCAAGTTTGAGCCCGGCCTGAGCAACTTAGCAACACAGTAAGACCTTCTTAAAATAAAATATAAAAAAGAGGTTTGTGAATATAGTTCAGTGTGAAGGCTCTGGGTTCATTCCCCAGTACCACAAAACAAAACAAAACAAACAAACAGAAACTCTGGATGTTGAAATCATCAGATGGATATTTTTTAAATTCTTAAATGATTACAAGGGGATAAAACACATGATAGAGAAAAGAGATCCTGGGAATTTTGGTAGAGAATGAAAACTTTCTTTAAAATGTGGAAGTTCTAGAGCTGAAAATTACCTGAAGCTAAGCACTCAAATTATAGTTTAATGTATGAGACATAGCTAAAGAAAAAGCTCATGAGTTAGAAGCTAGATCAGAAGACAATATCAGAAGGCAGGGTGAGGGCTGGGGATTTAGCTCCGTGGCAAAAGTGCCTGCCTGGCAAGCACAAGGTTGTGAGTTCGGAGTTTGGTTCCCGGTACCAGAGAAAAACCAAAAAAAAAAAAAAAAAAGAATGATCCATTGAAAACATTAGCCAGAGCCCATCAAGGTGGTACTTACACACTTGTCATTCGAGCTATTCTGGAGGCTGCACAGATGGACTGCAGGTTCCTGGGCATCCTGGGCAATTTAGTGAGGCTCTGTGGTAAAATAAAATTGAAAAAAGGACTGAGGATGTAGCTCAGAGGTAGAGCATTTGCCTAGTATGCACAAGACACTAGGCCCAAGGCTGGGGATGGTGGTGCATGCCTGTAATCCCAGCAGGGGTGAGGGGCGGTGGCAGGAGGATCACTGTGAGTTTGAGGCCAGCCTGGCCATAGTGACACCCTGTCTCCAAACAAAAAAGACACTAGGAGTTAGTACTGCTCCTCACCAAAAGAAGGGTTCAGTGTTGTCTTTCTTAGTTGTCCTAAATAAACTTTTCGCATTTCATATCTTCCCTTTCTCTTATTATCTTTCTTTTTCTCTAGAATAGTATAATCTGTAGGAAAAGTAGGGATATTTTATTTTTATTTACTGCTCTGCTCTACCACCAGGAACTAGCCTGGCATACCTGAGGCCTTAGGTTCAATCTCTAGTACCAATGAGAGAGAGAGAGAGAGAGAGAGAGAGAGAGAGAGGGAGAGAGGAAGAAGGAAATATAAAATAGGTTATAATTCTAGAGGGCAAAATACCAGGTTTGACCGTATTTTCCACACTTACCATATTTCTTTGTAAAATGTTGTCAGAATTAAGGCATCATCTCCAAACCACTGTTATTGTTACTTGTTACCAATTAAGAGGAATTTTCCCTTTTCTTCTTACCTACTTAATTTAGAGCAGCAGTTCTTAGCTAAGAGCTTTGAAACTGTGCCTTGGCCTCTAGGATTAACTCATGAAACCCTCTGTGTGCTTTTAGGTTTGAAGCAGCCAAACTTGTCATGCAGTGGCTCTGCAACCATGAGGATCAAAACATGCAAAGGATGGCGGTTGCTATCATTTCCATCCTGGCTGCCAAGGTACTGGAACACTTGTGAAATAATTATTTATGAGCAGTTGTTTCCCTTTACAATTACTGTTTTCTGAGGCTGGGTGTGGTCATGCATGCCTGTCATCCCAGCACTCTGGAGGCTGAGGCAGGAAGATTGCCATAAGTTTGAGGCCAACCTGGGCTACATAGTGAGTTCAAAGACAGCCGGAACTACATAACAAGACCCTGTATCAAAAACCTCTCCCCCCAAAAACAAAAAACAATTACTGTTTTCCCTGTAGTCTGTGCACCAGAAAAATTAATAAGTGTATCAGCCAGCCTGAGTCAAGCTGATTAAGTATTGAAGAATTTCCTGTTGATCAGATAGTTTAGTCTGCCCTTGGAGTGTTACAGTGAATGACAGTGAACACATGCTAATTAGCTCTTGAGTATTTACTTGGTCTTATGCTTGCTTCCAGCTGTCTACAGAACAAACTGCACAGCTTGGAGCTGAGCTCTTCATCGTCAGGGTAAGTTCATATCTCCTCTCTGCAGGCCGCTAAATAAGTATTTTTATTGTTTGCAGCCATTAGTGTGTATTTCCTAGATCTATGTATCTGCCTATCTAAAATATATATATATATATATATATATATATATATATATATATACTTCCTTCTTTTTTAAAAAAAAACATGTTAAGATTCTTATTTTTGGGCTGGGGATATAGCTCAGTGGCACAAGCACCTGTCTAGCAAGAGCAAGGTCCTGAGTTCGATTCTTAGTACCAAAAAAAGAAAACAAAAGAGTCTTATTTTTTTGTTGTTGCTTTGTTGATTTTTTTTTCCCCCTCTCTGCAGGCCACTAGATAAGTATTTTTCTTGTTTGCAGCCATTAGTGTGTATTTTCTAGATCTATGTCTCTACCTATCTAAAACACAAATATATATATATATATATACTTCTTTTTTTAAAAAAAAAAAACATGTTAAGATTTATTTTTTGTTGTTACTTGGTAGATTTTTTTTTTTTTTTTTTTTTTTTTTTTAGAATTTTTTTTTTTTTTTTTTTTTTTTTTTGAGACATGATCCCACTGTGCAGTTCAGGCTGACCTCAAACTTGCAGTGATCATCCTGCCTCAACCTCCCAGAATACTGGGATTACAGGTGTGTGCCCACCCCTGACCCTTCTTTTTTTTTTTTTTCTTTGCAGTGCTGAGGATTCAGGGTTTTGCATATGCCTGGCAAGCACTCTACCACTGATCTAAAACCTCATCCTTGCTTTGTTTTTCGAGACAGGGTCTCGCTGTGTAGTTCATGCTGGCCTTAAACTCATGGTGCTTCTCCTGCCTCAGCCTTCCAAGTGCTGGGATTAAAGGCATGCACCACCATGCCCGGCATACCCTATATTTTTAAATATTTCTTTTTTTGATACTTTTAAATGGATGTATTTGATATTGGACAGTGGATCTTTTGGCTCAGTGCCATAGGCCGAGGAGTACGAGCATATGCAGACGGAGCTTTTCATTTGAAGGAAAGGAATTTCAGCTGGAGAGAAAGGATGCTAAAGGGGAAGAGCACTGACTGAGAGAGAAATGAGGCCAGTCCATTAACAGAGGACAGGACAAGTTTTTATGGGGCTGCTGGTGTGGGAGGGTCTGGTTGATCGTTATCACAGTTGGGTTCCACAGAGGGGTGCAGTGAAGTCCGTACTGCCTGAGGGGCAGCCTCGGCGCGTGGGAGGGTGATCTGTCTTCAGAGGTGCTGCTCTTCCTGGGATTCAGGTGATTATAGGTCACTCCAGGAACTGGAGACTTGCGGCATTGCTCCAGGCAGCCTGCAGTGGAATGTTGTAAAAGCTGACAATGCAGTGCCTTCAAAATCTTGAAAAATGCCTTAGTTAATCTTACCTTGGTGTTCCCAGTCTTGAAAGGGGTTGAGCTAGCTTTGGGGTTACGGCCTGGGTTTTTTTCTGCTTTCCACACACCCTTCTTTCAGTGGGTGTCAGGTCAAGAGATTTTTTTCTTCTGTCCCTGTGATGGTCCTAGTCTCATATTCTTTTTTATTTTTAATTTTTTTTTGGTACAGGGGTTTGAACCCGGCACCTTTTTGCTGAGCTATAGCCCTACCCTTTTTTGTTTTGAGACAAGGCCTTGGCAAGTTGCTCAGGATGGGCTGGAACTTGGGATCCTGCCTCAGCCTCCTGCAGTGCTGGGGTTACAGGCATATATCACTATGCCTGGCTTCATTTCTTTTAATGAAGGCAGTTTTATTCCTTAACAGAAAGAGCGCATAATTAGGAGTTGGATGACCTGCATTTTAACTTTCAAACTCAGGTTGTGAATTTAGATAAAATTCTCAACCGCTGAGGCCAACATAAACAGTAAGATCCTTTCTAGGGAGAGGGGCGATAGCTCGGGGATAGAGTTTCCCTAGCTTGCTTGGGCTCTGAGTTCAATCCGTGCTACTGTAAAACAAAACAAAAGATCTTATCTATTTACACATTTTTGTGACTTAGGAAGAAAAAGTAGAGCCTGTTATATGCATTGTGCTAGATGCTTTAGGGAAGCAGATAATTTAAATACCTGATACATAACTTTGCTTACAAACAGCTGAAGAAAGGAACTGAAAAGTTATTTTAAAAAGCTGTAACGAGAATCAATATAAAAAGTGTCTTCGGAAACACTGGAGGTAAAGTCTATTTAGGAGCATCTTTCTAATATAAGGTATTTGGACACTAATAGTACATGGAAAAATCAAAATAAGAGACTTTCTTATTCCATGACTTACAAATAATGTATATAGTGAGAAAATAAGTTATTCATTTGACAAATATGTGTAGTGTGCCCAGAAGCCTGACATTTTACTTAGACGTTAGGGATTCACACTGAATTCCTCTGTAATTCCTGACATAAAAATTCATGGTACAGAAAAGAGCTGTGTAGATGTGGTTATTATAAAATGTATCATACAGGGGGAGAGGAAGGAAACCAGCAGAGATAGCCAGGCTTGTGTAAAGGCAACATGGCATGGAATTTATTGTGCCTGGTTGCAGGCGGGCAGAGAGTGATAAGACCGCCTGCATCGAACAAAAAGAAGTGTGCCCCTTTTATAAAGGGATGAAGAGAAGGCAGGAGACATTAGGTAGGAAGCTTTTAATAAACATCAGTGGTCACAGTTCTCTGGCAGTCTTGCCCACCTCAGTGGACAACCTTGAAGTGTCCAGTGTAAATCTTTGGGTGTCTCCAGATGTCCCCGGGTGTCTCCGGATATCCCCGGATGTCTCGGAACATGCAAAATTCCTTGTCCTATCTTATCTCCTTTCCTGTGCTTGTGGCTGACAACTTGATACTGAGCGGAACTGCCTTCTGAGAGCTGAGTTCCCTGCAGAGAGTAGTGCTTCTGCTGGCCAGCAGGCTAGGGGCTCGGGGAGTCAGGTCTGATTCGAACCTTACAGTTATAATACAGTCTAAAAAGTACAATCATAGAAGTAAGAATAAACAATAATTTCATAAAGAGCTGGAAGGCTTTTATGGTATAATAGAGTAGAAATTCTGAAATTGACATATTTATGTTTATTTCCCTCTGTTACTAGTTGTGTAATTTTTGAGCAAGTCACATTATGTAGCTCTTAGAAAGATTAAACAAGAAAAAGATTAATTGTAGAAAGATATGCTAAGTAGTTAAATACAGTATGGACTATATTAGATAGGAGAGATACCGTATTTATTTTTAATTTCTTTAGGGGTGGCATTTTAATTTTTTAAAAAAAAGCTTTTTTACTGGGCACAGTGGTGTACGCTTGTAATCCCAGCTACTTGGGCGGCTAAACCAGGAGGAGCAAAGGTTTGAGGCTACCCTGGGCAATTATCCAGGACCCTATCTAAAAATAAAAAGTGCTAGGGATGTACATCTCAGTGGTAGAGCACTTGCCTAGGCAATGCAAAGCCCTGATTTCAATTTGCAGTACTGTTAAAAACAAAAACAAAACAGCAGTAACACACACACAACTTTCTTTTTTTTTTCCTATACCTGTTATTTTCACTGGAGGTCCATTCAAATATTTTAAGGAAGTAGGCTACTTGTATAATTTGTAGGAGAGGGTATTTAGTTTAAGCAGGAATTAACAGTAATGGTAGTGATGATAATAATAATAAAGTTTTGTTTTGGTTTGGTTTATTTGGTGCTTGAGATTGAATTCAGAGCCTGGCACATGATCTACCATTGAACTACATCTTCAGTCCAAGTTTTTTGTTTGTTCATTCTTTGTTTTTTCAGTACTGTGGATTGAACCCAGGACCTTCTCACTGAACTATATCTGCAGCCCTTTTTAATTTTTATTTTGAGACTGGCCTTGCTAAGTTCCCTGGGCTTGATTCAAACTTGCAGTCCTTCTGCCTCAGTTTCTCAGGGTGCTGGGATTACAGGCATGTGCCACATGCCCAGTGGTTTTTATTTTTATTTTTTAATCCTTAATTATTACCCAGCTGGATGTAGTGGTTCATGCCTGTAATCCCAGGTCTTGGGAGGCTGAAACAGGAAGATCACTGTCAGTTTGAGGCCCACCTGGGCTACAAAGTGAGTTCAAGGCCAGCCTGACCTGCACAGAGTAACCCTATCTCAAAAAAAAAATCACCCATAGTGTATACATGAGAAAACAGTTAAGTTGGTTATCAAGGTTATATGATTAGTTGCACATGTGTGTGTTCAGATGACTTGATTGTAGTGCCACACTCTTAGCCATTATGCTATTAATTTGAATAATTGTACCTAGATGTTTGTGTTTCTTTTAAAAATTTTCTGAGTCATATGTAACTTTTAGTAATAGTATTCATTAATATTTTCTTGGATCGGGGCTGGGGATTTAGCTCAGCAGCAAAGCGCCTGCCTGGCAAGCGCAAGATCGTGAGTTCGGTTCCCGGTACCGGAGAAAAACCAAAAAAAAAAAAAAAAATTTTTTTCTTGGATCTGTTTTAGTAGAATTTCCCTTTTACCTCCAAAAGTGTATTCTAAAAATGAAATTATAGATGTCTTATGTAGATTTTAAACATTGACTTTTACTGTATTTTTTATTTTTTTGGGAGGGTACTGGGAATTGAACTCAGGACCTCACACTTGCCAGGCAGGCGCTGTGCCACTGAGGTAAATCTCTGGCCCCATCACTGACCTCTTAAACTTAAAGTTCTTAGGCTAAAACTGTGATAGAAATAGTTTATAACTGGAATTTCAAAGTTATTATTATAGTGTGTAACATAAATTTTAATTCCTTTGCGGTTGCATTTAGCCATTTGTTTTTTTTTTTTTTTTGGTAAGGAAAACTTTCTCTCAGTACATTCATTGTAAGCAAATGACTTAATATTTCTCAGACTAGTTTTCTTCCCTGGAGAATGGGGATAACAGTAGTTCTGCACTGTAGGCTGTAGTGGCAAGCTTATGGGTATGTGTGCCACAGCAGGCACAGAGAGCCTTGTCCGTGCAAGCGGGGTCACTCCAGCAGCGCCCAGCAGCAGAACATCAGACAGCAGTTGTTTTCTTCTAAACTAAAACCTTAGTATTCAGGTATAATTGTAGTGGTGGCACTTCGCAATAAACACGTGGGCTTTTGGTTGCAGGTTGGGCACTTGGTGTCTAAAAGGTTCGCCATCACTGGTATAGGATATAATTTGCTGATGTTTAATAAATGCTTGCTTCACTTTCCCTTCTCCCTGTTCACCTTTTTTATCTCAGGTTCTGAAATATGCTCTATGCTATGACCGATTAAGATGGTTGACCCAAACCTTCAATTATTTGTCTCAAGCAATATTCACAGGTGACTAAATTATAGATATGATCAGAAAGATGTAGAAGTATTTATGAAAATCCTGTATGCTTTTCTTATTGAGGAAAAGTCTGCTCAAGGGGCTGCATTTATATGATCCTTTATGGGGAATGCTTTGAGCCATGAGATTGATCCTTAAAGTGTGGTTATTAATAATCGCAAATCATACTAACAGTTAAACAGTGAAAAATTAATTCTGCTTTCTTCTTTTTAGCAACTTCTTCAGATAGTGAAGCAGAAAACCAATCAAAACTCAGTGGATACGACGCTGAAGTTCACGTTGAGCGCACTTTGGAACCTCACGGACGAATCCCCAACCACATGCAGACACTTCATTGAAAACCAAGGGTTAGAGCTCTTCATGCGGGTTCTAGAGGTTAGAATGGGAACTTCAATCTCCACTTCTAATATTTATTGATTTACTTACCTAAGCTTTTACTTATTCTCTGTGTTTTGGGGGGTAGTTACAGATTTCTCTCTTTTTTTTACAGTCCTTCCCCACTGAGTCATCCATTCAACAGAAAGTTCTAGGACTTTTGGTAAGATATGTGCATTTCCTGTTAAATTGCAAGCTGTAATTATTTTCTGTCTGAGGGAACACAATAAAAATTAGTGCTATATTTATGAACACTTAGTGACACTGGAAAGTAATACACTATAATTATTAAATTATAAAATAAATAGGCAATAAGAAGTTCATCTGTAATCCCAGCTACTCAGAAGGCTGAGGCAGGAGGATTGCAAATTTAAGGCCAGCCTGGGCAACTTAGCGAGACACTGTCAAACAAAAAAACAAAACAAAATACCGAATGGCAATAAAGGCCTGGCTTGGTGGCGCACACCTGAAGTCCCAACTGCTCGGGAGACTGTGGTTGGAGCATCACTTCAGCCTGGGAGTTTCAGATTAGCCTGGGCGATAAAATGAGACCCTATCTATTTAAAACACACACACACACACACACACACACACACACACACACACACACACACACACACATATCAATCTATCTATCTATCTATATACACATTGAGAGTTTTGAGGGCTGGGGATATAGCTCAGTGGCACAAGCTCCTGCTTGGGAAGCGCAAGGTCCTGAGTTTGATTCCTGGTACCAAAAAAAAAAAAAAAAAGATTTTGATACTTTAAAAGGAAAAATATAAATATATGTACTTTATATTTTTCACATTATACAAAATTTCACACTGAGCATATATTTTACAAAAATTTTCATCAAAAATGTCCTTAACTTAAAAGTATTCTTGGATGGTATGTTTGGGAGTTAATAGTTACTACTTAAAGGACTGTTTAACAAACCAGACACTTCTTAATATTTTGGATAATATGTTAAGGTAAGCTTCTAAGATTTGAGGGCAGAGATGAAGGGTCAGATGTTTTGTCAGCTAACATCACTGCCACAGGTAAAGTACCCATGTAGTAAAGGTGTTTTACACCAGGCCTGGGCTCTTAAGGAATTAGATCATAGGAGGCATAGATTAGTGAGTAAAAAATATAAATTAGTGTTTATTTCCATGTGCAAGAGTATGAGATAGTGAGGAGATGAATTTGGGGGAAGGCTGAGGGCTGGCATTTAAAGAGATCCTATCTGTTTATAGTAGCTTTAGTTGTATAAAGTTGCAAAACAAAAACAATGTAAATGTCTGGTAATAGAGGAATTATTAAATAAATGACAGGATTTGATTTAAGAAATTGTTTAGCACTACTGGGAATCAAACCTAGGACCCTTTTGCATGCTGGGGAAGTGCTCTACCACTGAGATATAGCCCTAACCTTTTATTTTTTTTATTTTGACACAGGGCCCTACTAAGTTGCCCAGGCTACTTGTGATCCTCCTGCCTCAGCCTCCCAAGTAACTGGGACTGCAGGTGTGTGCCACTGTACTGGCCAGTATTTGATTGTTTTCTTCAGGGTTCAATAGATTATTATATACAGAATGTGGCTTAGGTCATGTAAGGAAGAAAGGGGGGTGTTGGGTACAGTGCTGCACACCTGTAATTTCCACACTTAGGCTGAGGCAAGAGGCTTGTGAGTTTGAGGCCAGCCTGGGCTACGTGGTGAGTTCAAGGCTGGCCTGGACTGCATAGTGAGACCCTGTCTCAAAAAACATAAATAAACAGGAGGAAGAGGAGTTGGGGGGTGGTGAGAAAGAAGAGGAAATTTATTCAAAGGACAGGGATCTGAAAATGCTTTCTGTCTGGGAATATAGCTAAGTGGTAGAGCATATGCTTATTAGCATGTGTACAAATCCTGGATTCAATCATCAGCACCCAAAAACTGTTTCTTTTTAATTTTCAAAAAAATGGTGGCACATCTACTAAAAGAAATACATTTATTATAATTAATGAACATTGCAAAATGTATATTAAAAGTTTAAGATTCTGGAGAGCATTTGGTAACATTTTGGGTCCAGATTGCTATTGAATTCTAGAGTCACAAGTAAAGCCAATTAAGATCTACAAAATAATTCTATGACTGTGTACCCAACTTCGCATCGTTTCCCTCTTGCAGGGTAATTAATGTCACTATAACCTGGGCTAAGGGTTCGATACTTGCTTAGCATACGTGAGACCTGCGTTTGAGCCAAACCTCGAAAAAGTAAAGTGTTTCTTATAGACAACATATACTTTGCATCTTACTTTTTTATCCACTCTGATAATTTCTGCTTTTTAGTAGGGAGTTTTTTGTGATATTAAATGCATTAATTTTTGCCACCTTCCACCACCATTCATCTCCATTACCCTTCATCCTAGGAAAGTAAAACTCTGTGTCTGTTAAATAGTACCACCAATTTCACTTCCTCTTGGGCCCTGGCAACCACAATCCTATTTTCTATCTCTGAGATTTTTGACTACTACAAGTACCTTATATAAGTGGAATCATACAGTATTTGTCTTTTTGTGACAAAGAATTAATGAAATTGAAGCTGGGCATGGTGGCACATGCCTATAATCCCAGCACTCAGGAGGCTGAGGCAGGAGGATCTTTGTGAGTTCAAGGCCAGCCTGGGCTACAAAGTGAGTTCAAGACCAGCCTGAACTGCATAGCAAGACCCTGTCCCAAAAAGACAAAAAAAAAAAAAAAAAAAAAGAAATTGAGGCTATTCTTATGTACTTATTGGCCATCCATAGAACCTCTTTGGAGAAATACCTATTCAACTCCTTAATCTATCTGTTTTCTTAAGTTTTAAGAGTTCTGTATTCTGGATATCATTCCTTTACCAGATACATGATTTACAAATATTTTCCCCCATTTTGAATGTCAGTTTTTGTTTTTGTTTTTTGAGACATGATCTCACTCTGTGGTTTAGGCTGGCCTACTATGTAACTCAAGCTGGCCTCGAACTCATGGCAGTCCTCCTGCCTCAGTCTCCCCAGTTGTGGGATTACAGACGTGTGCTACCATGCCTGGGTTGTTGTTTTGTTTTTAAAACAGAGTCTTACTGTGTAGTCCAGGCTGATCTCAAACTCCTGCGCCAACCCTGCTAGCTGGGAGGGACTATAGGCATGTACCACTACAGCCAGTTTGCATGGTAGTTTTTGATTGGATGCTTCTCATTGTGAATTTTACCTTCTTAGTTGCTACATATTTTTATTGTCCTATAAATATTATTAAGCTTTGTCCCAGGGTACAATTAGTTTACTTTTAAAAAGTTTGACTATTTTGAGTTTTGTTACTATTATTTGCTAAGTTCCGCAGCAACGATCAGGCTTGGGCTAATTATTCTCTTGAATAATTTTTGACCTTATTTTTGGAGACAGGGTATCCTCTGTTGCCCAGTGTGGTCTTACTACACTCCTGGGCTCAAGTGATCCTCTTACCTCAGCTTCCTGTGTAACTGGGACTACAGGTGTGGCTTACCAGGCCCAGCTCCCTGATTCTTTTTTGATGATTCTTTTCTTGCCCTCTAATAGTTTGTTCAAGCTCATCTACTCCTCAGGTACTCATGTTACCTGCATTCTGTGGTGCTGTGGTCACCTAGAGATTTTTTTCCAGGTCTTGTTGTCCTAAATAAAGAATTGGACTAGACTTGTGCAAAAGTTAGAGGCTTTATATTTATTAAAGGTAGGAAAGGAAGTATAGAGTGGGTCTGGGCTAGTTAAGGTGGGTAGCAGAAGTAAGCTTTTTAGGGTGGCAGCCACTGAAGAGCTTACGGGGGCAACGAGGTTCATGGCAGCCATCTTTTGTGTCCTCAGGCTGATGTCTGATCTAAGCTGTCCTATCAAAAACCTGCTTGATCTAGTGCCAGAACTGAAGATAGCATTTTCTTGTTTGTCTCAGTAGCAAAACTTAGGAACTGTTTTTCTGTGACTCTGTTCTAGATTTCCCTGATTGATAGATCACACCTGTTTGTCCAGCCAGCTGGTCATGCCCTAATCTTCTGCCTCCCTCTTGAATAGAGGGTCCCTTTGTGGATTTCTGAACTCTCTCTCTCTGCATCTCTCTTCATCCTGGTATTCTATCCTGCAAGCTGCCTTAGTCTCTGGACTCTTAGCTCTCTTTCCTCTATTCCATGAGTCCACAGAGCTTTGCTTCAGGGCTTTATCCCTTGTCCACAGCCTAGCAAGTCTCAATCCTTTAGTGTCTTGAAAATTGTTTCATGTTTGTTTTGTTTTCAGCAGTTTCTGGAAGAAGGATGATTCTGGCTAGAGTTAGGGTCTCATTATGTAGCCCAGGCTGGCCTTGAACTCGCAGCGGTCCTCCTGCCTCAGCCTCCTCAGTGCTGAGATTACAGATGGGCGCTACCACACTCAGCTGTTTTATGTTTCTCTCTCTCTCTTTCTCTTTTAAGGGGGATTTAACACAGAACTTTGTGCATGCTAGGTAACCACTGTACCTCTGAGCTATATTCCAGCCCCCTTTTTACATTTCTTATTCTGAAGGTATACTGGCCATGAATTTTACTCAGATTTTGTTGTGTAGAAGTCTTTTATTTTTATTTTCTCTTGAGACGGGGTCTCACTATACAGTTCAGGCTGTCCTTGAGCTCACTGTTTAACCGAGGGTGGTCTCAAGCTTGAGGTAATCCTTCTGCCTCAGCCTCCTGAATGCTAGGATTACAAGTATGTGCCATGATGCCTGTCTTTTTTCTTTCATTTTTGAATAAATTTTTTAAATGTCTGTTGAAGTCTTAAGTGAACATTTTTTTCTTTTGAATCTTTAGGTTTGTAATTTTCATCAGATTGGAAAACATCTTTTTACCTTATTTCTTCAAATATCTTTTCTCATAACTGTCTTACTTCATTTCTTTCTAGAACTCCAATTATAAGTGGATTAAACTGCTTGATAATGTGTTTCACATCACAAGAGTCCTTTATTAACTTTTTCCCCAGTCTTTTTTTCTTTTTGTACTTTGGTTTGGCTGTTTTCTATGTTTTTTAGTGCACTGATGATTTTTTTTCTATATCGTCTCATTTTTTATTAATGCCCAGTATATTCTGCATTTCAGATAATGGATTTTTTTCCCTCTCTCGAAGTTATACTTTAGGATTTTATTTGTTTGTTTTTATATAAGGCCTGTCTATGTAGTAGATTGGCCTCAAATTTGACATCCTCCTGTCTCAGACTCTCAAATGCTTGGATTATAGGTATATACTGTCATACTGGCTTAGGTCTTTTTTATATCCATATTTTTTAGGGCCTGGGTATAGCTCAGTGGCATAAGCGCCTGCCTGGCAAGTGCAAGGTCCTGAGTTCGATTCCTGGTCCTGCCCCCAAATATTCTTATTTTTTTTTTCCTCATGTTTATGTTTTATTTCATCCTGAATCATATTTATAATAGCTGTTTGAAATCCTTGTTAATTTCATTATTGCTGTCATTTTGACATCTGTTTTTGTAGAGTTATTTTTTTTCCTGGATTTGAATCATATTTTTCCACTCCTTTGTATGCCTGATTATTTTTGATTGGATGTTAGTCCTTATGAAATTCACACTGGTGATTGCTGGATTTTGTTGCTTTCCTCTGAAGAATCTTGTGCTTTATGCTGGCCTACAGTTAAGTCGCTGGCATATCAAGTTGCTCCTTTTTTTCAAGTTGCTTCTTTTAAACTTGTTTATTTGGGGGCTAGGGATTTAGCTCAGCGGCAAAAGCGCCTGCCTGGCAAGCGCAAGGTCGTGAGTTCGGTTCCCGGTACCGGAGAGAAAAACCAAAAAAAAAAAAAAAAACAAAAAAAAAAAACTTGATTATTTGTTTTATTAAGTGGCTTCAGATCAGCTTTGGCCCTCTGGCTAATATATTTTATTTTTTTTATTTTTTTTATTTTTTTATTTTTTTTGGTTTTTTCTCTCCGGTACCGGGAACCGAACTCACGACCTTGCACTTGCCAGGCAGGCGCTTTGCCGCTGAGCTAAATCCCCAGCCCCAGGCTAATATATTTTAGCCCCACGGCTATCATATCAAATATTTTGTTTCTTATTTGATCTCTTTTCTCTTGCTGGTGGGAATGTGAACTATTCCTAGGTTTTCCTGACTTTCAGATTCCTCTATGTACTTTCCGGTGGCTTGTTTCCTAACCTCCTAGGCTTATTACTCAACCAAATATTTAGGGGGACCTCTTGTATAGTAGTATCTGTGTGTATTTGACTCTGTCTATCTGTCTCCCTTCCTTTTCCAGTACTTTTTCTTTTTTTTTTTTTTTACAAAGTTTTATAGCATGGCTACCTTGAACTATGATCTCTGCCTTCTCAACCAAAGTGCCAGGTTCTCATTGGATTTTTCTTCATTGCAATCTAAAAACTACCCTCATTTGAATACTTTCAGTGATCCCGTTTGGCACGGCTGATTGGTTGTCCAGTGTCTGCAAACTGTTCTTTTAGCCGTTTGCTATACATATTACTTTAACTTTTAAATTTATTTTTATATCATTTTAATTTTTATGTTTCTTTTTCCCCAGAACAATATAGCCGAAGTTCAAGAATTACATTCTGAGTTAATGTGGAAGGATTTCATAGACCACATCAGTAGTCTGCTACACAGTGTTGAAGTGGAAGTGAGTTACTTTGCGGCTGGCATTATTGCCCATTTAATATCCAGAGGTGAACAAGCTTGGACGTTGAGCCGTAGCCAGAGGAACTCTCTTCTCGATGATTTGGTAGGATCATTTGGTGTTTTCTGGAGGAATGCAAGCAACGTTCAGAATGGTTAAACTGTCAGAGCCTTAAAATGTGATGCCATGATGCTAAGTAAATACTGTAATCCTTTCTTTGTGTCTTGTGTCTTCTAGCATTCAGCTATTTTGAAATGGCCAACTCCCGAGTGTGAGATGGTAGCATACAGGTAATTGTCGCAATAACTAACAATAAACCAGTAGCCTAGTCTTTTTCTTATTCAGGATCACTCCTATTGGATGTTAGTTGTCTCTCTTAATATTGACTTTAAAAGACGCAATGTAGCTGAGTGTGATGGTACAGGCCTGTAATCCTAGCTACTTGGCAGGCTGAGGCAGGAAGGTCACAGCCTTGGTAACTCAGTGAGACCCTATTTCAAAGTAAAAATTAAAAAGGGCTGGCCTGTGGTCTAGTGATAGAGGGCTTGTCCAACAGGCGTGAGAGTCTGGGCTCGATCCCCAGTCTTAAGTAAAGAAAAAGAGAAGAGAGGAGAGGAGGAGAGGGGAGGGGAGGGGAGAGGAGAAGTATTTGGACTTTTTTTCTGATGCCTATAATTCATATCATTTCTTCCTTTGTTGAATACTTATAGACTACAAGTCTCAAAGATTTGTTCTGTGCTCTTGAAATTAAAAAAAAAGAAATTCATAGATGACCAAGATACTGTGCTGTACACAAGAATCTTGTAGTCTACAGAAGGAAACTGAATGACTACTGTGCTAGATGTACATAAAAATTCAACGTGAAAGTCCTTAAGTATACACTGAAAGATGTTTAAAAGCTTTCAGAGAAGTCAGTTGTGACTTGAGGCTTTTTTTGGTTTTGTTTTGTTTTTGTTGTTTGAGACAGAGTCTCGCTATGTAGTCCAAGCTGGCCTTGAACTCACTCTGTAGCCCAGGCTGGCCTTGGACACAGGTGCTTCTCCTGTCTCAGCCTCCTCAGTGCTGGGATTATAGGCATGCGCCACTGTGCCTGGCTAATTTTGTGTTTATTCTTTTTGTGCGTACTGGGAATTGAACTCAGGACGTTGCACTTTGCCAGGCAGGCGCTTGTACCACTGAGCTATATCCCCGGCCCTGCCTGGCTAATTTTGAATAATTAAGTAGGGTCAAGAAATTTGAGGAAGAGAAAACAGTGTATAAATGCATGGAAATCTAAAAGAACATGACAGTATCACAGGAACTAGAAGTAGTACCAGGTAATACCATGTCTATAAGAAAAAACAGTTTGCAGAATAATTTATCAGAGGGCATACTGGCTGCCCAGCCCTGTTTATGACAATGTTTTTAAAAGTTTTTTCTTTTTTAGTACTGTGTTCTCATTCCTTTCACTTTCTGTACCAAAATATGTTGGAATTCCATCTTTTTGGAAATGTCTAAGATAAGATGTTCTGGAGTTCATTTATATAGTGACATTTCTAAAATGAAAAGTTTAATAATCACTGCTTAAAAACTAGTGCTACAAACCAAGCATGGTGGCACATGCCTCAAATTCCAGCACTAGGGAGGCTGAAGCAGGATTGAAGGCCAGCCTGAACTACATAGCCGAGACCCTGTTTCAAAAAAAAAAAAAAAGATACATTATAGAATATGTAACTTCGACTCTTTTGTGTGTACCCGTAGGTCCTTTAATCCGTTTTTCCCGTTACTTGGCTGTTTCACGACACCAGGAGTCCAGCTGTGGGCAGTTTGGGCCATGCAACATGTCTGCAGCAAGAATCGTATGTAGCAAAAAAGAGAATATGGCTTTTCTTTTTCAGAGGAGATTCTCTTTTCACAGGAAAGCCATTTCTAATTTGTGCTTTGCAATAATTTTTAAAGACGCTTCTAAAGATACGATATAAGACAATTACAGGTTACACACTAAACGTGTTCTTTTAGAATACGTTTGGCAATGCTGGGTAACAGTCATGAATAAGGTAACTGCCCAAGCATCATGGAATTTAAAAAATTTTATTTATTTAGTTAATTAGTTAGTTAATTGGTTGGTTGGCTTATTTTGCGAGACAGGGACTTAACTACATAGTCTAGTCTTGTTCTGAACTTGTTATGTTGCTCAGGTTGGATTTAGTCCCCACATCCTGCCGCCTCAGCCTCCTCAATGCTGGGATTATAGGTGTGTGCCGCCACACCTCACTTAAACTCATAGAATTTGAAGATTCAGAGCTTATTGTGATACGCTGGGGGCGTAATTTCGTGGTAGAGTGCTTGCCTAGCATGCCCACGGCCCTAGGTTCAATCCCTAGCATTGCGGGGTGGCAGGATGACAAAACAAAATAGTGAGGGTCAGGGATATAGTTCAGTGGTAGCGGACTTGCCTAGCTAGCATGCATGAAATTCTGGGTTTGATTTCTAGCACTACAAAAAATATTTTAAAAGTTACATACAAAAGCTTGTTTTTACATAAATACCCATTCAAACATTATTTATAATAGCAAATAACCCCAAATAAAGGTCCAGCAGTAGAGAAATGTAAAATAACATTGAAGTGTCCATACAGTGAAATATTTGCATGTCATTTTCAATGAAGAACATGCCGTAGAGTTGGGTATTGTGGCATACATCTGTAATCCCAGCTACTCAGGAACCTGAAGACCCTATCTCAAAAAAACGAAAGCAAAAATGGGCTGGAGACTGAGTTTGATTGCATATGCCTCTAATTCCAGCACTCTGGGCGGCTGAGGCAGGAATATTCAAAGTTTATATTAAAAAATAAAAAAGGAGCTGAGGATGTAGCTCAGTGTCAAGGCCCTGGGTTCAATGCCCAGTACCAAGCAAACAGTTGTGCCCCTTCCCCCTGAAAAAGAGGTGCTGGGGCTGTAGAGCAGTGGTGGAAGGCTTGCCTAGCATGCATTGGGCCCTGGATGCGGTGTCCGGCACCACAAAGGAAATACAAGGAATTTATGTTCTGGGCCATGATGGGAATAACAGGTATCTGACCAGCCCACTAGCTAAATGGTAACTGGGGAGGAACTTTGAAAAAACTCTCTCTAGACCTTAGACCAAGGGATCCAGGGTTCTGATACCTGAAGAATGGAAAGGAGTGATCTGTATCGATAGCTTTACCTGGCTTTTTTCCTGGAGGTACAGTGTGTGTAGACCCTGATTATCATAGTCCCTTTGTACTGCTGTAACGGAGTACTTGAGTCTAGGCCAATTATAAAGAACTGAAACTTACTTCTCACAGTTCTGGATGCCAGAGGTCCAAGATGAAGGAACCGGCTCATGACGTCTGGTAAGGGCTGTGCTGTACCCTCCCTTAGCATAAGCACAACGGCAGATGAGCACGCCAGCCCACAGCTGTGTGAAGCCTCTCGTATAAGGATCCCAATCTTAGTAATAAGGAAGGAGCCCTCGTGACCTAATCATATCTTAATGGCCTCGCCTCTTAATACTGTCACATGGGCAACCACCAGGTTTGGAGAGAAACTATTCAAAGCATAGCCCTGGCATAGAGTAGGGGAACCAAGCACTACACAGCAATTTCATTGAGCTGAGGAGAGAGATCCAAGTGCAGTGAGACTGAGGTGCTGGTGGTCGTGATGCAGGGTAATGCAGAGGCAGCAGCTATAGTTAGCAAGAACTCCTGGTTGGTACTGTCACTCATTAGTGAAGCATGTGCTTAGTACTTGATACATGCAAGGCTGTGGGTTTGACCCTTGGCACTACACACATAAAACTATAGAAATCTTCATAGGGATGCCTGGAGTCTTTGAATGTCACACCTGTGCATGCCTATGGTGAGACTTCTCGCATGACAAAGAACAAGTGCCAAGTTGCTGCTAATTGAACCATATTTGGAGCTCATCTATCATTGGGAAGTATTTGAGTTCCAAACAGAGTAGCAAGAATTTGCCAGTTGTGGTGGTCCATGCTTATAATCTCAGCATCCAGGAGGCAGGGGCAGGAGAATTACAAGTGTGAGTCCAGTGTAGGCAGCTTAGTGACTAAGCAAGACCCTGTCCCTGTCTCAAAATTTAAAATGGCTGGGAATGTAGCTCAGTGCAGAGGCTCTGGATTCTTTCTCTAGTACTGGATAAAAAGAGGGAATAAAAAGCTGGGGATTTAGCTCAGCGGCACAGTGCCTGCCTGGCAAGTGCGAGGTCATGAGTTTGATTCCTAGTACCGGAAAAAAAACAGAAAAAAACAAAAAAAAAAACAAAAAAAAAGAACTTAATGGCTGAAGCATTCAATAGAAATACCAGAAAAAATTAATCTAGCCCTATAATATTAAGTACATTAGGCTAATCCTAAGAAACTTGAACATGAGTCTTGAAATGATCAAGCTGCTCTGTAAATAAATACATTAGGCACATGTTCTTCCATTCTATCTCTTTACTCTGTTGTTTCCTTTGCTGCACAGAAGCTTTTTAATTTGATGTGATGCGTTTGTTGATTCTTGGTTCTATGTCTTGCATAGTTGGGGTTCTGTTGAAAAAAGTCCTGGCCTGTGCCTATGACTTCAAGAGTTTTACCTGTGTTACTTTCCAGCAGGTGAAGGGTTTCTCTTTTCACATGTAGATCTTCGATCCATTTTGATTTTAGTTTATTATATGTGAGAAATACAGGTTTAGATTCAGTCTTCTGCATGTGGATAGTCAGTTTTCCCAGAACCAGTTGTTAAAGAGGCTGTCTTGCCTCCAAAGTAAGTTTTTGGTTCCCTTGTCAAATATGTAGCTGAGAGTGCCTGGAGCTATTTCTGGATCCTCTTTTCTGTTCCACTGGTCATGTCCTTTTTTCCCCCAATACCATGCAGTTTTTATCACTGTAGCTTTGTAGCAGAACTTGGAAGTCCGTACTTATAATGCTTTCTGCCTCACTCTTGTTGCCTAGGATATTTTTTGCTATTCTAGGTCTCCTCTAGTTCCATATGAATTTAGGATTGCGGATTGCTTTCTCTAGTTCTGTGAAGAGTGCTGTTGGTATTTTGATTGGGAATCACATTAAATTTGTGTATCCGTTTTGTAAGTACGGCCATTTTGACTATATTGGTTCTGCCTCTCCAGGAAAGGGTATCTTCTATTTTCTTATTTTTTTTTGTCTTTTGAGACAGGGTCTCTCTGTGCAGTTCAGGCTAGCTTTGAGCTGACTTTGTAGCCCAGGCTGGTCTCAAACTTGCAACAATTCTCCTGCCTCAGCCTCCCGAGTTCTGGGATTACAGGCATGCACCACCACGCCCAGCTATCTTCCCATTTTCTTTTTTCTTTTTATTTTTTGGTACCGGGAATTGAACTCACAACCTCGCACTTGCCAGGCAGGTGCTATGCCACTGAGCTATATCCCAGGCCCTTAAATAAATAGTAGTATGAAATTATTATTATTATTTTTTGTACCGAGAATTGAACTCAGGACCTTGTACTTGCCAGGCAGGCACATGTGCCACTGAGCTATATCCCTGGCGCCATTTTCTGATGTCCTTTTTGATCTCCTTTTTTTCAGAGTGCTGTAGCTTTCACTGTAGAGGCCTTTTCTTCCTTGGTTAGGTTAATTCCTAAGTATTTAATTTTTCTTGAAGCTATTAGGAAAGGTGCTATTTCCTAATTTCTTTTTCACTGAGTTTATTATTGGTGTACAGGAATGCTATTGATTTTTATGTGTTGATTTTGTATCCTGCTATGCTACTGAATTTGATTATTAATTCTGGGAGTCTTTTGGTGGAATTTCTGGGTCATGTATTAAGAGTATCATATCATCTTTGAATAATGATAATTTGATGTCTTTCTTTCCTGTACATATCTCTTTTATTTCTTTTCTTGCCTGATTGCTCTGGCTGATATTTCAAGAACTCTATTGAATAGGAGTAGTGATATCAGACATTCTTGTCTTGTTCCTGATTTATAGGGAAATCAGCTTTTCTCCATTTGATATGTTGACCATTGGTTTGAAATAAATGGCTTTGGTCATAGTATTTCTCTTGTTTTCTTTCAGCTTCAAGGTACTGCAGTATGCTGATTGAAGAAGGAGGACTGCAACATTTATACAACATCAAAGAACATGAACAGACCGATCCCCATGTCCAACAGATTGCGGTAGCCATTCTGGACAGCTTAGAAAAACATATTGTGCGCCATGGGAGGCCACCTCCCTGTAAGAAGCAGCCCCAGGCTAGACTAAATTGATAGTCATAGGTGATTGGATAATTGAGTCACCAGGATCCTTTTTGTGATTGGTCCACTTGGACTATCTTAAGATCAGTTTGGGATTAATAATGTACAGTACTGCCCATGTGAACAGTCTAATTTGTCTTGTGATTTTTAACTTATGAGGCAAGAAAGGTCTCTTTATCATTCCCTTTTAGGAAATTTTCCACATCTTTCAGTGTTTGAATTTACTTGTGCTTGAGATTCTACAGTTTTCTGATAAAGTTTGCACGAACCCTTAGGCCAGATTTTTCTGATCTCAAAGCCCCTTCCAATCAATTTGTGGCCTCTGATGAGTTGTTACCCTGTTTCTGGCACTGTTTCAGTTGTGAAGTTTCTACTGCTTCTGTACAAAATGCCTTTATCCTCCGTGTATCTCTTAGAAGACACCCTTCCTAGTGTGAAAGAAGGGAAACCGCATTGTCTCCCCGTGGAAGCCCATTACCCTGTGGAACCTGGGTGGCTGACGGAAAGATATATTAGGAGGAGAAACAATTGAGGAAGGATGGAGTTCAGGAATTCAGACTTGCTTTCATGGTATAGTTTCTAAAGTGGGACGGGTTGCCCTTCTGGAGCCTACCTTTTGGAGGCAGTGAGCAGAACCTTGTTCTCCATATTTATGGCTGGAAACGTGGCCTGGTACTTTCTGTATAGACTGTGGGTTGTTCTCTAGAAATATTTCCCAGCATCACACCATTACTATTACAGCAGACTGTGCTAAAGGCTGTTTGAGTCTCTGTCACAGTATTCTGAAAATGTAAATTTAAAAAAATTGTCTCTAGTTAAAAGTAGCCAATGTTTTCCTGCTATTTTAAGGCCATTTTTGTTCAGTGGGATAGAGACTACTTATGGTATTAATCTGCTCAGTTAAAACACAATTGACAACAGTAAAGTTTGCACAAAAAGTCAGATTTGGGTTGGAGGTGTAGCTCAGAGTTCGAGTACGTGCTTAGCATGTACAGCCCTGAGTTCAATACCCAGCACACAAAAGAAGAAAAAGTTAAATTTTTTCCAAATATGTTTATCTTCTTAACTTATTCATGTTGTAAAAAGATGTCCACATCTGACTGCCAAACATGCAAGAGAAAATAAGACCATTGTTGGATGATTAAATGTAATGATTCTAGTTACAGTGGATAAAAGGAAATATTTTTGATGGATTATTTTTTACACAATTGCCTTTCCTTTAAGATACTTGATACAGTATAGTAAAAAAATAAAATATCATTAATCAATAATTGCTCTTGAAAGGCAGCAAATCTCCAAGAAATTTAATTTCCATTTAAGATTTTTTTTATTTAATAAGGTTAAATCTACAATCTCAGATGATTGCATTTTTTTTATAGCCAAAGTAGTTTCAGTAGAGATTTTAAATGGCATGTAAAAATGATAACGGTTCTTCAGAAGCATGGTAGAATTGGCTATCAGAAGTTCCTTCAGAAAAGAGCTGGAGTATTAGTGCATTTTTGACACTTGTTCCATACTACTGTTACAGTAAATGGACTTGAATTTTTTGGTGTTCCTTTATGGAGACGAAAACTGAATTAAACTAGAAGAAAACAGATTTGTGAAACCATTACAAGCTGTATTAAATTATGGGTTAATTCTGACTCAGTTGGCTAAAGAAATTTTTATAAGGTGCATTTTCATGTAGTAAGTTTATTTCAGAGGAAGTACAAAATTCTTTTAAAAGTTTTAAAAAAATTTTGGCCATTTTTCTCAATTTCAATATCTTACGGCAAAATTCGGTAAATAGGATGGTCCACAATGGCTTGAAAGTTGCTAGTGAGGTTGGCCATTTTCAAGTTTTTCTAGTACAGTTAAGGGAAAGTCTATTTGAGAAGTTTGGCTTCAAGTTTTTATTTTATTTATACCATTCAAGACAAAAATGTATGTTCTCTATACACTGCTGCTAGATTCTTGCCTTTAAAAGTTTTTTTTGGTTTTGTTTTTTGTTTTTTGAGACAGGGTCTCATTATGTAGCCCAGGCTGGCCTCAAACTCACGGTGATCCTCCTGCCTATGCCTCCCGATTTTCTGGGATTACAGGCATGCATCACCATGCCCAGCAAAAGCTGTTTTTAGAAATGACTAAAAATGTACAGAAAACAGCAGACACTTACTTTATTTGGAGTAACTTCTTGGTAGATGAAGACTCAAAAATGTTTAAATTTACTACTTTGAGCATCAGTAACAGCCAGATAATTCTGAGTCTTAGAAGCAAAATAATTGATCATATCCCAAATATATAAATTTTAGTGCCTTTCTGGTTAGGATGGTTCATAAAATTGTGTGTATAATTAAGGCACAGAATTGTCTGTAGTGTCTTGAATTTGGTTGAAATGTAGTGAGTGAATGTTTGAAATTATGAGGTATAATTGCACAGTCTCTGCAGTTAGAATCTATAACCCTCCTGAGGTATAAACTAGAATGTAACATACTTGGTGCCTTCAAAGGTTACCCTTCAGTGACTCAGAGGCGCCAATCACAGCTTAGGGTTAAGGCACTCATTGCTCAAATCGTTCGTGTGCTCGGATATTTAGGTATTATTAGAAAGAAATCAGTAGATTAGCCCATAAGCAATAGCAAGTTACGGCTGTATTAAGAAATGGATGCACAAAGCCCAGAGCTTGGTCCCCAGCAATACGTACGAAAGAAAAAGAAAGAGGGAGGAAGGAAGGAAAAAAGGAAGGGAGGGGAGGAGGGAGGGAGGGAAGAAGGAAGGAAGGGAGGAAGAGAAGGAAGGCCGGGTCTGGTGGGCATGCCTATAATCCCAGCGCTTAGGAGACTGAGGCAGGAGGATTGCTTCAAGCTGGAGGCCAGCCTGGATTAGAGTGAGACCCTATCACAAACAAAACAAAACTAAAAAAAAAAAAGAGAAAGAAAGACATGTTTTAGATTATAATGCTGAGTGTTGGTATCGTTGAGTAAAACAAAGTAGAGCAAATATAATTAAGGCATCTTATTGTTGGCAGCAAGTAAGTTTTGCTACGGCCTTCCTACTCTAAAAATACTGTTTTCTTTTGGGTTGAGAATTTAGCTTAGCTCAGTGCCAGGGCCATAGGTTTAGTCCTCAGCACCAAGAAAAAGATAAGAACGTTGTGGGTGTTTTTTCCTTTTTTTGCTTTTTGCAGTTAACAAGGAAGCATAAATCAAGTATTAATTAGGGGTTAGTTGAACCTCTAGCCGAGGACTTAGTTGAAGTTTTCTGTTTCTGGGGGACAGGATCTTGCTCTGTTCCGTGCTGGCTTTACATTTGCTATGTAGCACAGGCTGACCTTGAATCATGATCCTCCAGCCTCAGCCTTCCTGAGTGCTGAGATTACATTGCACGTGCCATCACACCCATCTTTTTTAGTTGCAGAGTTTTTTCTGCTGTCAGGTACCCGGGGGTTAAACCCAGGGCCTTTGCATAGAACGATACCCTTAGCCCTTTTTCTGCTTCTTTTTTTTTTTTAACCTTAGCGCTTTTCCAAAATTTATTTTTATTTTGAGACAGGGTCTTGCTATGTCGCTAAGTTGCCCATGCAAGAGCCTTATGCCTCAGTCTTCTATAGTGGCTGATACACCAGCACACGCAGCTCTTCCTAGTTGAAGATTGTTAAGAACTGTATCAGACCCACAGTTCACCATCAGTACCTCTGCTTGTCGCTTCAAGCAAGGGGTGCATTTCAGTAACACTAATAAACTTGAGGAGGAGGGTGATGAGTATAAAACTGCTACGGGAACTTGCCTTCATGGTGTCTTTTATTTGTAAACTTCCAAAGAATTAAATATTCATGTTTAAAACAGTCAACCCTACATGTCCAGTTTAGGAAGTCGCTCCTACAAGTGAGTCTTTTTGTGCTGGCCTCTTTTCTCCCTAGCCACTTTAATTGGGCTGTGCTTTTAATCATGCCATGTGTCAAGGTAACATGAGGCCATCTTCTGTCACCTTTGAGCACATTTTAATGAAAATACTTTATGTGCTAAATTAGGGTAAATTAAATTTGTTTGTTTGGTTTTTGGTTTTTGGTTTTTTTTCCTCCGGTACCAGGAATCGAACTCACGGCCTCGGGCTTGCCAGGCACACGCTGTGCCGCTGAGCTAAATCCCCAGTACCTAGGGTAAATTAGATTAATGAACTATATATTTGAGTTAGTGTTTTAAAGTGCAGTGTCCCCCCCTCAAAAAAAAAAAAAGAAAATAAAGTCAAATGCATTTGTCCCACGTGGAAAAATGTGTAGCAGTACCCAGGTTGAACAGAGGTGGCAAACAGTTACTGTTTTGTGGATGGTGAGATGCCCGTTTCTCCTGCTCTCTCAGAGTATGTTTACATTATTGGTTCTGTACAGCTTTCATCATGGTATAAGCAGTATTATTAAACTGAAGGTACGAGTTAAAGGCAGTGTCACACTGTCACTGGTGCGGCGTTTCCCAGTTATCTGTATGCTGTTTATTTGGGGACTGTGTCCCGGAAGGGGCTGCCGAACATGGCTCTGAGCTTTCAGAGAGGTGTACAAACTGGATTTCCCTCTTAAATCCAATTTCAGATGAATTTGTGCATATTAGATGTTTTTAGACACATTTTTAGTTTTCAGTGTTAATTTAACAAACTGTTTACTTTAGGAATAATGCAAAACTAACCTTTGTGAAGTAATGAGAATAGCAGTATGATTGGAAAATTTGCTGATTGGGCTTTAAATGAGTGATTGTTTTATCTTCTTTAGTATTTCATAGATTTTGCATGATATAGTGCTTTGGTTTCCAAAGCCTCACATGAGACACTCTGTTAATTGGTAGGACATGAACTTTTTAGCCTGTTCCCCACCACATACTTTTTAATATGAATTATGCCACTATAAATGCTGTTTGTCATTATTCTGAATGAAGTAAACCTCTTTAAAACAGCACAGCCTAACTTTATAGCCAGACAAATGACCATTAAGAATAATCCAAGCCAGGCATGGTGGTGGACTCCTGCAATCCCAGCATTCAGGAATCTGAGGCAGGAGGATCCCTTCGAGTTGGAGGCCAGGCTTGGCTACAGAGCAAGTTCAGAGCCAGCCTGAACTACACAGCAAAACCCTTTCTTAAAAAAAATTTTTAAAAAAGGGTATTTCATCCCAAGTCTGAGGTAGGATGGTCGCATGGCCACAGTTTGAGGCCAGCCTGTGTTCAGCTTAGTGAGACCCTATCTCAAAAATAAAAATGGTAGATGTGGCTCGGTGCTCCCTGGGTTCAGTCCCGAGTTGTCCTCCCAGTAGTTCAGAGCTAGGCGGCTGGCACTTTCCTGTAGGCTGTAGTCCCAGCTGTTCTGGGCGGCTGAGACCAGCCTGGGCAACATAACAAGATTCTGTTTCAAAAAAAGAAACCTAAAAAAACCACAAAAATTATTTTAAAAATCTGAATTTACCAAAATTATTTTATGAGAAATCATACATCTAGTTTACCAATAATGGGTGCTTAATACGGGGCTTACTTTGGGGAAAAGTTTAAATTGGACCTATTAAACTTATTTTAATCATGTCTAAAGCAAGAAACTAGCTACTGAAAGCTAAGGACACCTTCAAAAAAGGCAATCTTTGAGAGCATTTTTTCCTCCAAAAACAAGAGGATGTTATGTCAAGATTTATACTCTCATATCAACAAGTATAAAAAAAGTTTAAATCTCTGACTTTTGTAGGATTTTCTCTGTAAAATTCTGAGTGGTGAGTGTGAGAAAAGCATTCTTTTGCTTGAATTGTGATGAAAGAGTTGAATGCCTTTCAAAGAATACAAATAAATCATTGGAAGTGTAATGTACATACATTTCAAGACTCTCAGTTACCTGGACAGAAAGCACTGTTCTCATACGGGCCAGATAATGGGAGTGTTCTGTACTGAATCATGCTATATTTTAAATCAGGACATCACTTAAGTATTAATGTTGTGTGTACAAAATTTTGTTTTGGAATTCTTTTGGTTTTTGCCTAAATAAATGGTATAAATTTTATGTAAAGTGTCTCGTCTACTTTTATTTTAGACATTTGGTTTTAAAAAAAGCTTAGTAATAATGTAAGCTTCAGTTTGCTTAGTGATCACTTTGCAACAACTGCTTTCTTAAAAAGGCTGCAGTTTTCCTGGACAAGTTTGTAGAATTGCGACAGCATTCGTTCATTTCCTTAAGTACCTGTAGGTGCCGGTCATTGTTGGAACTTATTTAACTTATAAATTCTTCAGGGAATTTAATGGAGAAGAAGAAGAAGTGTTCAGTGAGCAGATAAATATTAGCCAGTCCACGGTGCCTGTTAGAGGCCCAGAGACCACACCTAAGCCAGACTGCTCACTTAGGTGGCAGTTTAAGAGTTCTTACAGAAATGGTATCTGGGTTGACACTCATTCACACAAATAGATAATTAGCTGGAGTAAGGTATATTATTTAAATGCATTTAGTGAAAGGTATTGCCTCCCCCAAAGTACTAGTGATTTTAGCTCCTGAACTTTCATTTTACAGTTAAAGAAGATAGGGAAGATGAGTGCTCACGTCACATAGCAACTCAGGGACAGAGCATACTACAATTCTCAGCTCCGAGTTTCCAACACAGCAGGCCCCACCCCACCATTTTCTAGCCCAGTAGCCTGAGATTTCTTAGATCTCAGGCAGTACACAATTAAGCAACAAATGAATGACGCTGGGAAGAATGTACAGCAGCATTACTGTGTAGAGGCTAGAGACCTGTTAATAAATGGTCACTAGCCGGGCATGGTGGTGCACGCCTGTAATCCCAGCACTCGGGAGGCTGAGGCAGGAGGATCTTTGCAAGTTCAAGACCAGCCTGGGCTACAAAGTGAGCTCAAGGTCAGCCAGAACTGCATAGCGAGACCCTGTCTCAAAAAGACAAAAAAAAAAAAAAAGTGGTCACTAAAGCTGGGCATGCTAGGTGTGGTGGTGTACACCTGTAAGCCCAGCACTCAGGAGGCAGAGGCAGAAGGATCACCAAGAGTTCCAGGCCAGCCTGGGCTACATAGTGAGTCCAGGCCAGCTTGAATTACACAGCGAGCCCTGTTTAAAAAAAAAAAAAAAAGCTGGGTATGGTGGCACAGGCCTGTATCCCAGTACTCAGTGGATGTGTTGCCAAAGTGAGCGCTATCCCAGCTCTGGGGAGGCTGAGGCAGGAGCTTCCTGAGTTCAAAGCCACAGAATGACTAACACTGGCCTTAACTGCATAGGGAGACCCTGTCTCCAAAACCAAAACCAAGTCACTACAAAAATACTCTATTAGATGTGTTAGAGTGGCTATAGGGTTTCCAAAAGTAATTTTATTATAACTTTTATAATTATTTTTCTTAAGTTTATATTGTCTGTAAAGCACTTAATAGTAATGTAGTGTTACTGTGGACCCTACACATCACTTCTCAGCCTTTTGGCGAAGATTAAGTGTAGTATGGACCACACATAAAGAGGAAGATAAATTTCTTTCTTTTTTTGTCTCTTTGAGGCAGGGCCTCACTATGCAGTTCAGGCTGGTCTTGAATTCACTTTGTAGCCCAGGTGGCTTTAAACTTTTTATTTTTTGGTACCCAGGACTGAACTCAGGACCTTGTGCTTGGCAGGCAGGCGCTTGTGCCACTGAGCTATATCCCCAGTCGGTAGCTTTAAATTTGCAGCAATCCTCCTGTCTCAGCTTCCGAAGAGCTGGGATTACAGGCATGCACCACCATGCCTGGCTGAAGAGAAATTTCTTTGGCTAATAATTTAACCAAACAATTGGTTGAGCTGTGTTATATACAACATCACTTGAAAAAAAAGACAAAAGGGCTGGGGTAAAGACCTGTGTGAGGCTCTTGCTTAGCCTGCCCCAGGCCCTGGGCTCAAAGCCCAGCAACCCCTCCCCCAAAAATGTCTTCATTCTCCTTCTACCACTTGTAGTTTCTGTTACGCTGACGGACGTAAGTGTTTCCTAGAGAAGGTCTTCCAGGCTTCTCCTTTACTCTCCTATTCTACTTGTTTAACATGCATCATAAGAGTCCAGTAGCCCGGTCTATCCCAGAGCTGCTCCAGTGAAGACAAAGCAAATGGCAGAAACTATTACTGCTGCTTACTTTAATCATTATTAAACCCAGCACTCTGGCGGGCTGAAGCGGAAAGATTGAAAGTTCAAAGCCATTTCCTGTCTTAAAAAACAAACGAAACAAACAAAAAAAAAAAACTGAGGCGCTAGCTCAGCGGGAAGCCCTGGGTTCCATCCCCTGCACTGCAAGTAAACAAATAAATGAAATAATAAGTAGATCCACGGGAACAGATAAACAGTCGTTTAGGATTTGAAATCAATTCGCATCGTGGGCCAAGTACTATTGTAAGGGGTCTATAATTTTAAATGCCACTAGGGCTATAGAATAGCAAATTCCAGGCCCTCCTGCGAGATTTAGGGAGACCTTGGCTTGATAATAATAATAATAAAAAAAGATGGGTAGATATGTATGCAAATACCGGGTCCTGGGGTGTACAGAGGTTGGAAGCCTGGGTAATGAGGAATCAGGAGGATGAAAGAGGCAGCCGGTGAAGCAGATGAGCAGAGAAGGGCTGGAATGTGCACACCCGTAATCAGCTACTTAGCTACTCAGAAGTCTGAGGCAGGAAGTCTACAAGTTCCAGGTCATTAGGACAATTTGGTGAGATCCGGTTTCACAATGAAGAAATAAAATGGGCTGAGGGTATGAGGCAGTGAGTGCTAGGACACTTGTTTAGCACGTGTGTGAGGTCCCGGGTCCAATTTCAGTGCAGGAATTAAAAAACAAAAGCGAGGGGGGCAGGGTAGGGGTGGAAAAAGAAGCATTTAAAATATATACAGTAGTGGGGTTTGATTGCCCACCCGTGTAATCCCAGCAATCGGGAGGCTGAGGCAGGAGGATCGTTTCGAGTTTGAGGCCAGCCTGGGCTACAAAGGCCAGCCTGAACTGCATAGCGAGACCTTGTCTCAAAAAGACAAAATAAATAAATTTTAAAAATGATTATATACAGTATTCAATTCTGCAATGACCCAATGCTAGTCCTTGAAAGTGTTCCTGCCGGGCAACAGGAACGCACTATCTGGATACCCCGCGGCGTGGGTTTGAGCGCACGAGCTGGGGGAGCAGCTGGTCACTGAGAGGTCAGCGTTGGGGGGGCCTCTCTGGCCCAGCGGACCCGGGGGTGCAGGGGGAGGGCCCGAGGGGGCGGGGTCTGCGGCTGCGGGCCCAGGGCGCCTGCGCGCGTCCATCCGGGCGGGCGGGCGGTTCAAAAGCCGTGCAAGGCGAGCAGCGTGCGCGGCTCGCGGAGGCAGACG